CGCTTGCTGGCCATCTAAGACATCTCCTTTTTTGTACATGTGCCATTCTCCTTGAGACTGCACAGACTGCAAACCCTGCACAGCCTAGAGGCAATGTCTATTCCTTTTATTCTGTCCTTGTAACAAAGACACCCAGAAACAAGAATCAACTGTTGTCTTTTGCAAACAGCAACGTAGCCATGCATGTTCATCTCCACACCCTTGTTTCCTTCTTTCAGTTACTTTGTGGGGAAGCACCTTTGGCTGGTGATGGAGTACATGGACGGAGGCACTCTGAGAGATATCATCAGTGAGACTCAAATGTCAGAAGGAGAGATTGCAGTTGTCAGCCGTGAGGTCAGGGATCCCACCTGTGCTTCCAAGGGCTTGAGCAAGATTGTCTGGGAAACTGGGGCTCAGAATGGGAGTGATTTCATGGGCCAAGCTTGGTTTCTGTCTTGCTGGTATGCTATGAGCAAGCAAGAGCCTTTCAAGTGAACTGCCTGCCAGTGTCCCTACACTCACTCTACTCACTCCTTGTACTCTTATCTCCTGCGGCTGTAGTCTAGTTCTGTCGCTTCTATTTGGATTTGCTGTTCTCCACCTTGCCTCTCTAAATGCTTACTTTGTGCTTATCTGCACTACATTCCTTACCTCTAAAGCAAAGATGCTGGTGGCAGGATTTGAAACAAACAGCAAAGAAAAAAAGAGGGACTAATTTCTTTTAGGTCTCAGCTGAAAAGGATAGTAGTGCAGCCCAAATGCTGTTTGCTTCTGAGCACACCCACTGCAGCTGCAGTCACTCTGCCTGGTTTGCAGGGGACAGTCTACAACAGCAGTTGCTGCTGCTGTTGCAAAAGCTGCCATGCCTTTCCTGACAAAGGTCCTGCTCTGCTGCTGTTGCAGCAGCAGGCTCTTCCTCTCAGTGGCACTGTGTTCTGCCATTACTCCCCATTCCCCTGCAAAGGGAATTTTTACAGCTGTTTCCTTGCTTGTGTGATGAAATCACATCACTCATTTTTGCCCCCCTGTTTCTGCTTTCTCTCGCAGTGCCTGCAAGGACTGGGTTTTCTTCACTCCAACCATGTGATCCATCGAGATGTGAAGAGCTGCAACATCCTTCTCAGAATGGACGGCTCTGTCAAGCTGGGTCAGTGTATTCTTGGTGAGGTTCAGCCTCCCAGGGATGTGGGGTGTGGGGCTGCTTTCAGTGACTGCCAGCTCCCCAAAAATGGTGCTGCTGGCAGTGCAGGGGCCCCTGCTGTGAGCTGAAGGCACAGTTGTGATGTGCACAGAGGTATGACAAGATACCACAAGCACTCAAGAGTGGCATTGGTGTGTCCCATCCAAAGGAGAGAGCTACAATCTAAAGCTTCAGAAAAAGAAAGGCCATTGCTGGAGGAAGTGTAAAAAAGGTGGGGATTTTTTGAAGCAGCCAATTCCATATTTCCTTGGTTAAAGCCCTGAGGAAATTGAGCAGGAATGGATTTCCAGCAGATGACAAAGTGCATTCTGAGACTGGGAGTGGGCAATGCTTTTGCTTGGTTTCCTAATTGGAGCTGCCTTTCACGGTGTGTTGTTTTCTCCACAGCTGACTTTGGCCTCTCTGCTCAGCTCACCCCTGAGCAGAGGAGACAGAGCTCCGTGGCCAGCACTTCTGGGTTGATGGCGCCTGAAGTCGTGACAGGTCACCCGTACGGCCCCAAAATGGACATATGGTCTTTTGGAATCGTGGGCATCGAAATGGTGGAACGAGAAGTTCCTTACTGGAATGAAACTCCTGTCTCGGTAAGGTGCAAATACTCACTGATCCTGCTGACTTTCTCACCTGTCCCATATCCTGTGTGCAAAATGCCATTGCCATCTGCTGGCATTACTTCCACCAAGGTCCCCTTCTAAAAATGTCCCTGCAGCACATCAGCATCCGCTGTAGGTTTGGTTGCATCAGCAGGCAAGTGGCAGGTACCCAGTTCAGAAACGTGCCATTTTGGCCTGCAGCCCTGCTGGCCTCTGTGACATTTCTCTTTTGCTATTTGAAAATTCTTGAAGCTTGTCTCTTAAGTAGAAGAATTTTTCAGTGGAGAGTTCAGCAGTGTGATAAATATCCTTTGAGATGGAGTTGGGACCTTCCCGGTTTCAATTTTCTAGAAAAAGAAAAAATGAAAATAAAGAAAAGGAAATGGAAAAGAAAAAGCAAAAAGGAAGAGAAAAGGGACAAGAAAAAAAGAAAAAGGAATAGGATAAGGAAAAGGAAAAGGGGGAGGAAGAGGAAGAGGAAGGGAAAAGGGAAGGGAAAAGGAAAAGGAAAAGGAAAAGGAAAAGGAAAAGGAAAAGGAAAAGGAAAAGGAAAAGGAAAAGATAAAATTAAACTTAAAATTAAAAATAAAAATAAAATCAGGAAAAGAAAAAGAAAAAGAAAAAGAAAAAGAAAAAGAAAAAGAAAAAGAAAAAGAAAAAGAAAAGGAAAATAATAGAACAAAAAGGAAAAGTAAACAGAAAATACAAAAATCAAAGTAGTTCTGCTTACTTTTTCCTTTATTAAACAAAGCACATCCATTTTTGTCCAAATTCTAGCATCTTTTCCAAATCCTGTGGGACCTCCAAACTTTCAGGCTTTCAAGTCATCTGTACATTGTTCTGTCATGTGTCTGGGTGGCCTGGATAAATTCAGGATGTGTTTTTCTCCAGCTGCAGTTAGAATTGTGTGCCAAAGCCCCGGCTGTTTCTTGGTACTTGAACAGGAGGATGAGCCTGCAGTCAGGTGCCTGGGGCTGGGATCCAAGGGGTGCGGTTGACGCCGGTGCTGTTCCTTTAGCACAGGAGCAGGGCCATCCCTGGGTTGCACAGCGCTAGTGACAGTGAGGACTCCTCACCATGCCCACTAGCTGAGCTCAGCTGCAGAGGGACGGGATAAAACCTTCTTTTTGACCTCTGCTGCTGTGGGAAAAGTGAAGGAAGTTTTCCTTTGGCTTGAAGAGGATCAAAGTCTCCTTGGTCAGCATCTATTTCATTGCTACCAGCACTGGTGGGCATTTTCATGCAGACTCCTAGGCCTCTCCCCACTGTCATTTCTGTCTGTTTTAAATGCTTTCTGCATCTGCATTTCTTTCAAGAACAGAACAAAAAGCTTGATGATTTTTGTTTCATGGAAGCTGTGCTTAAGGGACCAACAAGCATGGCAGTGATCCCTTTTGTGTAATAATCCTTGGAAATAGTATAGCTAGAGCTATAGCTATTCCCCCTTCCAAATGGCCTGTCAAGCTATTCACACAAGTTGGAGTGAATCCTCAGAGAAGCAAAAGCTGCATTTGGTGATGAAGTTCTCATTAACCAGAGAACTAGTCAGTGAAAATCAGCTGCCAAGGCAAGATCTGCTGGATGTTGGAAAAGCTGGGGTTGCCTCGGTGTTTAAGTTTTTTATAGGTATAGGAAAGTCATCTCTGCCTCTCTGCCAGGGCAAAAAATGCCACTGCAGAGTGGAGCTGAAACAATGGGCTCTGGGAGAGCAGTTGCAGATGGGAAAGAAGCAGGTGGAGCCTTGTGTTTCCTTTTTCTCCAGCCTCAACTCCTGATAAACATAAGAGGGACACCAAAGCTGTGGCAGCCCAACCTATTCTCGCTTTTGCTGCATGACTTCCTGAACTGCTGCCTGCAGACAGACGAGGCACAGCGCTGGTCTGCTGAGGAGCTCCTGCAGGTAAAATGCCAAGGGGCTGCAGGTGAAACAGTGTCTGAGGGATGGGCTCCTCCTCCGCTGAAATCCAAGGCATCAGATGTGCCCCCCTCCTCCTCACCTCCAATCTTCCTTCTGTTCAAATGGAAATGGCGAGGAATTCTAGCAGGACTGGCAGGGACCTGTAAAGCTCATGTGGTCCAAGTGCCCTGCAATGAGCAGGGACATCTTTAAAGGGATCAGGATGTTCAGAACCCTCTCCCACCTGCCTGGAATGGTTCCAGGGACAGGGCACCTACAAGCTCTTAGGACAACCTGTGCTAGTGTTGTTTGTGTGCCCAAGGAAACAAGTTCTTCCTTAGACTTCTTCTGATTCCATCCCCTTTTTCTTTAAACATATTAGCCCATGTCCTGTTGTCACTGGACCTATTAAAAAAGATGTCCTGCACACCCTCAGAAGCCACTCTGAAGTTTTGGAAAGTAGCTAGAAAGTCTCCCTGGGGCCTGTTCTTCTCCAGGCTGAATAACTCCAGCTCTCTCAGCCTGGCAGAGAAAGCACCATTTCAAGAGCCCTGCTAGGGCAAAAGTCCCATCAAAATGAAGAAAGAAGAATCAATGGATGAGTGGGATTCTGGGCCAGGTTTGCCTGTGATGGCAAGGTCCTGCACGTGAAGATGGAGGTGCAGATGCCCCCATTGGTCCCCTTTCTGGGTCTGTCTGGGAACCAGAGGAATCCTGATTGAGGCTGTGAAGCATTGAGCTTGGAAAGTCATGGTTAACTGAGTTTTATTGATTTCTTTTTTTCCCTTTTGGGCAGCATCCACTTGTAACATTAACTGAGCCTGTGTCCAGCCTGGTGCCGCTGATCATTTCAGTGAAGAGGAGGAAGGAGGAGAAAACATCAGGACCAGCGTAGAGTCAGCTTGTAGACTAGGATTGTAGAGTAGGGTTATAGAGTCAGATTGTAGACTAGAATTGTAGAGTAGGGTTATAGAGTAGGATTCTGAACTAGGATTGTAGAGTAGGGTTCTAGAGTAGGATTGTGGACTAGAATTGTAGAGTAGGGTTATAGAGTAGGAATATATATCAATAAGATTTCTGAAATTTTAACTCATCTGGAAGATTGCTTTCTTTTTTACCCTGTGAATAAACTCAGCATTTCCTTCTGACTTATCAGTTGTCTCTCCAAGGTGCAAAGTGATATTCATGTCTTCTTTGGTGTGCTTTGAAAGTGGGGAAGGCTCTTCTTCAGTCACCCTCTCCAAACTGCCCGGCCTTTGGAATTTGGCTCACTGGCTGGGTTTTGGCCAGCTGTGTGGTATGTCTAATTGAGGCAGAAAGGGCAATGGCATTTACAGGCAAAAGAAGTGGAGGAATGGGGCAGCCAAATCTTCCTGTGCAGATGCAGGCCTTCAGCTGTGACTCCAGAGCATTTGGGTTGCTGCCATTTGAATTTGTATCCCTGTGGTGGTTTCACATTGATTGATATTTGGAGAAGGAAGAAACCACCTATGGAAGAGATTTCTCAGAAAGAAGCTGCTGGGAGCTCCTTCTGTGCCTGGGAAAGGTCAATAGCTGGCTAGTGCTGAGAAGTGACAACATTTTGAACCATTTAGAAATGAGGTCTGCCTCTGTGAGATCTACATTTTTAAAAATAAAGTTTGGGAAATCTCTCTCTTGGCTTCCGGACCCAGAAGGTGATGGAGCTCTGGTGAGGCCGGCCCTGCTCGCCCACGGCCTGTGCTCCTGGGGGAGGCTGGGCCGGACCCCAGTGGCTCCTGGAGGGGGGATGGAGGCTGCAGAATCCCATCCCCAGGCAAGGCTGGGCCACAGCTGCTGACATCTCGCTGACACTAAACCATCTCCCCAGCACACACCGAAGGCTCCAGGCCAAGCCTCCCCTCCCAGCAGCTGCCGGGCAGAGAGAGGGGCCCAGGGCAGCCTGAAATCATCATCATAATTGCTGCAGCCACTGCCCACGACCATCTGCAGACCTGGCAAGATTTAAGCCTTTCATTTAACCCTATCAGTGCACAGATGAGAACTTCAGACCACCATTCTCCCCTCAAGAGAAAAGGACAAAGTGGGGACACGTAGAAGACAACATGAAGACGCTGGGGTCATTAAAGTAAGAATCAAAGAAGGTGAATGAGGAGATGTCTCAGTGTTGGGCTGAAAATTTCTTTTGGTAGGGCTATGGAGATAGAAAATGATACACAGAAATATCTCCTTCAATTCATGAGAGAGG